CTATAATGTTATAGTCGAACTATTAACGAATGTTTAACGAATATCTATATTGATTTTTATGCCGAGTGGCACCAAACAACATAAATTCGGCTTAAATTTAATTATAAAAAATTTAAAAATTCGGCAATAATTCAACATGCCGAATGACCAAATTTCGACTAGTGTTTTTTAGGATTCGTAATGCTGTGAAAGTAGGGAGCTGTGATCTTTGTTTTTTGTTGGAGACTAATCTATGGTCAATTTGTAAGTTCATTACTGAGTTGAAGTCTCCCAGTATTATTGTGTTCCAGTTTTTTTCATGTCTGCTGAGAATTTCTTCTTCTATTCATTTGTTGACTTTTTATTATTATTATTATTTTATTATTATTATTTTTTTTTATATAATTTGTTATTTAAAATTAAAATATAATATAACAAATATTATATTTTTTATAAATATTAAATAAAATAAAAAACTTTAGTTTATATAACTAATTTTAATACTATTAATAAGTTTTTTTTTTAAATATATTTTTTGATTTTATTATAACAACTTTTTTTAATTTTAAATAAATATTTATAATTGCTTAATAATATTTAACTAGTATATTATTTAAAAAATTTTTTAATATAGATTAAATAATTATTATAAACAAACTAGCATTTAACTGTTTCAAATCAATATTAAAATAATAGTAATTTATAATAAATTTTAATATATAAATTATAATTTACTTTATTAAACTCATAATAAATTCAATATTAAAATATTATTGTTTAAAATCTTATATTTAACTTATTATTAACTTATATAACAAAAATAGATTTTTTAATATACAAATAAAAAACAATAATATTTATTTACTTTAAAAATAAAAAAAAAACAATAATAATAAATTATATAATAAATTTAATAACTAATTAAAAATAAAATAATAATAATAATAATTAGTGGATTAAGCGACCTATGGGTCTATAGCACAGTGGTTAGTGCTCCATAGGTCAGATCACAAGATACAGATTCAATTCCTCCAGGGGGTTAATGTGATTTCTCTGACCTAAATATTTAGGGTAACAAAAGCTGATAGAACCTGCATGCCATCGGCGTAATCAACTAACCGATGTTTTCTAGTATAAATACTGATTATACAAAAGATTCACTAGTCGAAATCGGATTATTCGGCAATATGCCACTCGTCAATTATTCGGCATAAAAATAAACAATTCATCAATAATTCGTCAATTGTTGCCGAATATGGAATGCCGAATTATTGATGAATTATTAATGAATTGTTTACGAATTGTTTATTATATGCCAAATGATTGACGAGTGGCATATTGCCGAATAATCCGATTTCGACTAGTGATTATGATCTGGTTGGATATCCGAAATTGGATAGGATTATCCTTAATACAACCACATTACCAAATAGTAATAAGAAGAGTAGATCCCAAACCGGTAGCATACTGCTGGTGGCCAGAAAAGTTTATGCGACCCGATGGCGGGCAAATCAAAACTATTGGTAAGCTTCCTGTCCAATCAAGTACGTGGCTATGTCGGATTTCACAGACTTTACTATTGGGAGGCCTTGATAGGAGAAGAAATTCACGGATCACTTTGAAGGACCGAAAAACTAAGGTTCAGGATACTGTAATCAATGGCCTGATAATCAAACTACTCTTACTGTAAATAAAAGTGTTCTGGGAAAAATTAAGAAGGATTCGCGCATCTTTCTAAGTTTAGTAAGAGATTGGTCACCCCTTTTAAATATAATAAGTGATTGAACATAGCATTACATAGAATAGATATATAGTTACTCATATATAGATAGATCTACTATAAACACATATATAAATCACTTGTTAATATATGTAACGTTAAGTGCATTATAGTAGTGCATAAGTGAAAAAAGATCCGTAATGTACGTTGCCGAAATGTAGGCAGCTATAAGCATATAATTAATAAAGATATGGTCCAAAGCAGAAATTTTCATCAATTAAGAGATAAAGGATAAATATACACACATAGTTAACAAATACATGACCAATTATATTAAATACTTATCTGACATAGAAGAAATATTCACAACTAGTCTTTATTCCAAGGGTATTGATAGTATCTTGGTGGGTTAGCTGTCTTAAGGAAATTCTAATGTTTTGTCTTATAAGATAGGCAACAAGCCACATGGTGGAGCAATCCTAATGGGTTTACTTTATATCTTAAGATAATCATTAACTTCTTATAATTTTTTGCATGTATACATGGTTGTATCTCAAACAATTATTTCAATAAAGTTAAACAAGGCAAATGCCTACCCATTATAAAAAAAAAAAAATGATTAGTGGATTAATAACACAGTAGATAATATACATATGATGTAAATTATTTTGTTATTGATTCAATTGCCAAAATTCTCAAAAATAATTATATCTAACTCAATTATTTTATATATTTTAATAATGACTTAATTAATTGTATCAAATAATTATATCAAATTATGTTAAGGATCTATCAATTTTTACTACATATATAGTAGATAATACTCTTTGATCTTTAAATATATGTCTCTAGTTCAATATCTACAGGAGGCAAAATATATAAAAATTATCTTTATTTGTGAGTTTATTGATTTTTTTATAAATGTCATATCCAAACATTTGAATTATAATCAAATTCAATTAAGCTATATGAAAATAAAATCTTTGATCTTTTTGATGATCATGGATTAAAAACAAGTTGAAGCAGAAAAGGTTGTACAAGAAAGACTTCTGGTCTAATTCTACAAAATCACTTCACCTAGTATAGCAGACTTTATAGTACAAATAATATTCTAATCTAAAACTATTCCAATCTGACATTTGTTTAAAAAAAAAGGATCTCTAAAAAAAATCTAAAGTTACAGATAGTAATAATAAGTACAAGTATCTTTTCTAAAGAATTAAATAAAAAGTATTCAGATTATCCAAATATTCTAATTAATCTTGCAAGGTATAGGATCTTCAATAGTAAGCAGTCACAAGATTGTCAAATTAAAACTTAGCAGGAAAGAGAGTTTAAACTAACAATAGGATTTTCTATTCCTTGAATTTGTTCTATCTAATGTATGAACCCTATTTTTATAGTGGTAAATTTATATAGCTGGATTAAATAGATAATAGAAATGGGTTAACTTAAATAGACCTTTGATATAATTGCAATATTGAATATAAATTCTCAATAAAAACCAGTATATCTAATACCTTTTACCTTAAAAATAAAATAAAATAAAATAAAATAATAATAATAATAATAAATTATATAATAAATTTAATAACTAATATTAATTAAAAAATAAAAGTAATAACAAGTTATATAATAGACTTTATTATAATATACAATATATCGTTAATTTATTAAAAACTTAATAGTCTTTGTATTAATTATTGTTTCAATACTTATATCAATGAAACAAAAAATTGTTTTTTGCACATCATAATTATGTAATAATGTTGTAATGATTTTCAATAGGTTGTATTGTTTATTAAAAAAGATAAATCTGCATGCAAGTTATTGAAATGACAGATGGGACAAAGATTTTTCGGTAAATAATCGAAAATAATTACCCAGATGACATGAACCTTCTATTTTTAGTAAGCATCAATATATTTCTTTCGGCTGTATATTGTATTAATTTTTTTAAAGTTGTCTACAAAGTGAATACATTTTGGAAAATTACGCGCGCACGCAGATGAGCCCAAGATTCTCTCTAGATTAAATTATATATATATATATATGTGTGTGTATGTGTGTTTTTTACTTTATATGTTTTTTCAAGTCCATTTCACTTTCTGATCTAGTAAGTGGTAGCACGATTTCCTCCCTTTCGCGAGCTTTTCTTTCCTTCTTTTCAACATCTCTCTTTGCCTGGTTATACATGTATAAACCACCAAAGGTCAAAAATATCCCAATTCCTTGAGTAAGACTAGTTTTCTGACCAAACCATATGATACTTGCGGTGACCACAAAAATTCGCTTTACTAATGAGGCTATTGAATAAGTGACAGGAGAAGTGATAGATAAAATTGACAGAGCCAAAATGTTTTGAGCAAAATGAGTGGTCCCATTTAGCCAAAAATAAAAGGTAATAAGCCAACCATTTGAAGAAGTGGGTGATGATGGCGACAAAAAGATCAAACGAAAACCTTCGTAATATAACCACAAGGGAATCATAAGGAAAAAGGCCGTCGTACTCGAGTAAAAGGAAAGGTTTAACTCGTCGAGCTTATGTCTTTCATAACCGGGATGAGATTGATTGAAAAGCAACTTCTTTGAAAAAATGTTTTGGGCAACAAAAATTATAGTTGATCCCAAGGCAAAAAGGAATCCGATGAAACTTGCAGTGGATGAGGAGGAGCAGGCGAGCATCACTCCGATGGTGAGCGGTATTAACGAGATATATACACGATATGAATAGTTGACTTTAAAACCGAATCGATAAAAAAATACCGTGAACAAGGGTGAGAGGGCCTTTGATAATTGGAAAAAACTGGAACGTTAACCCAACAATAAAATAATTATTAACATTATACCAACAACACACATACCTTTGTCGTGTGCACAAAACTCACGGGAACGATGCTCGTTGCTACACTGGACAGTACGTGGCCGGTAATTGAGAATAAACTCAGGGGTAAGGTGGTGCGTAAGATACTTTTGGTAGGTCTTTTAATTCTAGTGTATCCAAACGTATGTCCAATTACATAGCAGTATAAACCAACGAAGCCAAATTGAATCCAGGTCAAAGTAACTGGATGTTTGAATTGGTTTAAAATTTGCTTGCCGATGTTGTTTGTCACAGCAGAGGATGCATACCATAATAAACACAAAACAAGAAACTTCACAGAAACAATGTTAATGGAACTAAATAAATATTTAACTAGATCTGATAAACTATTGATTGAAGATCCAGATTTCTCGGAGGGTAGAACTTTCGAGGCCAAGCTTGATATAACCTTTTCCTTTTCAACCGGTTCATACTGCTGGCGTAGTTTGCCGAGAAGACTATTTGACTTGTAAGGAAGATCAAAATTTATGGATTGTAAGTTAGGTATATCGAAATGAGAGGTCTTTAAGTTGTCATGATTATTATTGTTATAAAAATTTGAATTTATGGAAGGGGTTGAAGATAATGCGAAGGTGTGTAAATCTTGCAAAGGTTTTGAATTAGATCTTTTCCGTGTAGGTATTTGTTTCTGATGTCCACGTATTACGAACTCGGTGTCTATTCGAGGACCATCCGTTGGTGGGGTCAAGTTGTGCTCTGTGACGTTGGTTGTGGTTGTACCCATATTAGCTAAATGTTGCATGGAGTTATATGGATTAGTGAGATATTTCTCGGAGGAAGAAAAAACGGGTGTGGTAGTGGTTTCTGACTCTGAGGTATATGCAGAAATCGTAGCGGGCGAAAACTCCTCGGGTGGATTAGGCGGCATTATCTTTTCTAGGAAAATGTTCGATAATCTTTCTATTGAGGCATGGTGGCTATTTATATGAAAAGCAGATGCGAGTATCATATTTTTATTATCTCCATATATTAAACCATTCTCGTACCGAAAAAGCTCAAATACTTGTAATACGAGAATTATTATTGTACCATTGTGTTACTTGTGGATTTTTCGAACATTGAGATGCAAATGACTGTTTTTAATTGGTTCCACGAAGAAATATTCAACTTAAAAGGCAAGCTTCGATATAGAATAAAGTTCTTCGCCTGCCAATGTCAGGTTACAACGGCAGGGGGAAATCCTACAATGAATAGCTAACCTTTAATAGAAGTTGCTCGATCTTTCAAATCTGGTATTGCAATTTAAGTGTTTTTAATAATTAAGATACGAAACATATCGATATCGTAATTTTTCTATTTTCTATAAATATACAATTATGTGATTAAATTAAGAACAAATAAAGACTTGCTATAAAAATTATAAATGTAATTAAACTTGTACTTTTAAAGCTTAAGTTTGTTTTAAAGGAATTTATACTAATATATTATAATGTAATATTAATTGAAAAACAAAATTATTGATAGTAAAATTAAATATTAGTTTTCAATAAAATATTTATTATAAGTATTAAAACTTATTAAAAAATAAAATTATATTATAATTTACAGTATTTATAAAAAATGTTTTTAAATATTTTTTCAAAAAGTTTTTTTAAAATTAAATAAAATCAAATAAAGTTTTTTTTATAATCTCTATTACTTGTTAATTATTTGATATTGAAAATACAAAATGTAGCAATCCTTCTTTTTAGCCTGAGAAATAATATATAAAGATTATAAATATTTTATATAGTATATTAAAACTTTTTTAATAATATAATTAAAATAATATATAATAATAATATGATTTTTTTATTAATTAATTTAAAGAAAATTTTTTATAAGTAATAATTTATAATTAATAATTTATTTAAAATAGATAAAAAACTTTTTTATTAATTTTCTAATTATTATTTCAAAACAATATTCAATAATTGCTTTTTTATTTTTATTTAATTTAATTTATATAGTAATATTCAAAATTTTTTGAAAATTTTTTTAATATATTTAACTTAATAAATACTTATTTAAATTAAATATAAATATAAATATAAATGCTTAAATACTATTTTATTTTTTTTAAGAAAATAAGATAATTATTATTCTTTATATTTTTATTATAAATTTTAAACTTTAAAAAAGATTTACAATTTTTATAGAATAATATATATCTTTTTAAACTATAAATAAAGTTAAATACAAAATTCAAAAATAATAAAAAAATTTCCTTTTTTGGTAAAAACACAAAAAACTCCAAGAAACACCAAAGAAAACACTCAAAGAAAACTTTTACCAAGAAGAAACACTTCACTGATTTCTTCTAAACCAAAGCAGGATACAGTAAACAAGTATAACTGAACTTAAAAAAACACTAACTCTTTCTTTTATTTCAAAACAGATAGACACATACTTGTTTTTTCTTACTGGGAAAAAAGGAAAAACAAGGAAAACAATTTACAGTAAAATTAAAGAGAAAGTCAGCACCACACTTCCCAAGCTACCAGCCAGTCGTGTACCAGATTAGATACCTCCTCTAGTCACTAGTAGGGCCTTGTATCAGCCAGATCACACCCGATAAACCAGGCAACCTTGCCACTGACACAAAACCAGAAGGGTACCAAGACTTTCTCAAATACTGTGTTTAGAAGAAAACAATAGATCTAGAAAATTTTACAATATAAACAACAAGAGTTACGCGGATTGATCTATACTGGAACTGAAAAAATCAAAACCTGTTTACCCCCACCAAAAGATCAACAGTAACACAGACACGTGTACATAGTTCTCCACATTCAAAACAAGAAAACAAACATGTTTGTTTATAGGATTTAAAATTAAAGTTAGACTATATTCCGTGATCAAAATAAAAACAAACAAATAAACAAGATAATAACAAGATCAGAAAAACACGTGTCACGGAAAAACAACGGAAAAACAACCAAACAATACACGTGTAACACATCTGCATACAACCAATACGATGACGGAAATGCCAACAATCCCATTGGAGGAGCAAATTATAGAGCACCTCAGAACACTGGAAGATCATCACAATGAAAGTGACCAAAGATGGCTGCGTACTCTTATAGAAGATGGATCGACCAATACAACATCAGAGATCTCAGACTTGGGAGCACTCATAAATATCACAGTCATTGATGCCGTAGCAGCAAGGCTCTTTAATATCAACCCTAATACCGTGATTAAATGGGCATTGGCCAAAGAATACATTAAACAAATATGGGAGTTCAATAAACTCGATACGAATATCTTGAATAAATTCCTTATTGAAGACTCACAACAAATAGCCCAGATTTTAAGTATTCTACAACCAACACAAGACAACTTAGAGCAATCCTATCCTGAACAAATTCAAGTAACAAATAAGGATGAAAACCAGGAATTGCCAAACAAAAATCAACAAGTGCCAGAGATAAAAATGGAGGAACAAGCAACCGAGAATTCTGCCACAGTAGAAGAGACATATATTCCAGAGATAACCATGGAAGAACAATACTCTTCAGACAAAAATACAGACATCCACGGTTCCACTTCAATCAAAAACCTTGACATCAAGATAATTCCTGACTACGCAACAAGAAACAGGCAATACCAACCAACCAATCCCTTCTATATTTGCAGAGAAGGAGCATACAAAGCAGGAGCAATGATAGCCAATACACCAGGAGATAATATATCAGAATAGAGAAAATACTTGGCGAACATACTGAAGCTGCCGGAACACAAACAATATCTCATTCAGTCTCTCTTTTACAATGACAATGGATGGTATATAATTCACTTTGAATATGAAAAAGACTTAACTGCCTGTATGAACAAAGTCAATTCAAAGGATGAAGAAAACTTCCATCTTATTCAAATACAAGACTCCATATATACTACCAAAAAAACCAAAGAGACAAAAAAAAGAAACCCTAATCGGAAGGATCAGTCTAACCCAGGAAAAGTAATACAAGACAGGTCCAATCACTTTAAACTATCCAATCGCTTAGGGAAGGTGCAATTAAGAATCAAAGGCAATATAACTCCAGGTGTCAGTAGAAAGGAACAACTAAGATTCATAACTGACAAGCTAGGAGTTTCACTGGAACATGAAGGGGTACAAGTATTAGCTATAGGC